AATGTCCTTTATTAATTCACTGTAGAGATAAACTTGCTGTACCTGTATATGTAAAAGATAAAATGCACCATGGAGGAAGGTGCTGTCATCCCTTGCTTCATTCTTTTTCTTGTGTAAACTGAGTGCCAGTATCTGACACATGGCTTAATATTTGGTTTATATTATTCATTCAATAAATATTTATGTACTAAACACCAAAGAGAGACTTCACCAAGTCAGATAGATCTCAAGACGTGAAAACAGCTTACAGTCTACCTCCTGTAGCCCTCGTAGCTGCCAGGAACTTTAGGTAAATATTCTCCAGAGAATACCAAGGTAGCTGTGTCTTAAATATTTCTCCAAAGTGCCCATTGTTTCCTGGTACCCCTATGTTCTTATTCAGGGCTGCTCAAAGATAAAAGCATGACCTAATATCTATGGCTTTTCTCCATTAAATTCTTTAATTAGAAGAAGGATTTTGTGTTTTTAGGTATGCAGTTAATAAGATATAGCCCCTGATCTCAAGGAACTCTACAGGCTGAGCAGGAAATTTACTAGTACAATAGAATGTGTTAAGAGTGGAACTTCAGGTATCACAGAGAAAAGTTAGGAAAAGGCCGCCCAGAACTGAGTGAGGAAACTTGAACTGAGTCATACCAAGTAAAACATAACCACACAAAGGGGCCAAGGGGAGAGGGGCTTTCCAGGGTTATGGGAGTCATGAGTATGTTCGGGGTAACAGTAGCCTAGAGTATACTTTTGTCTTAGAAAGGCAAAGGGATTTATATGTTTTGTGAAAGATGTTAAAGGAATTAGTAAGTTGATCATACTTGGCTTTTTATAAAATCATTATGGCAGCAATATGGAGGGCATACTTAAAGGGGACAGGATGAGTAAGGGGCCCTATTTAGGGGGCAATTATAGTAGACTAAGTAAAGAATGAAGGGGACCTGGACTAGAACAGTGGGAATGAGGACTTGGGGATCTTAACATGGAAAATGATGTAGAGGTAGAATTGGAAGGGTTAGTAAAAAGAAGGAGCTGGGCAGGAGGGGAAGAGGCAGCCCTTTCTAACCTAAAGAACTGAGTGGAAAGGGCTGTTCACCAAGATTGAAAATACAAGAATAGGAGTACGTTTGGAAGATGGCCTTGAAATTGGTGATTGTTGGATGGTCTCCAGGAAATGTTCATTACACAGACACTTGTGTATGTCTGGAGCTCAGGGAGGTAGCTGAGTATCACCAGCTTATATACATAGCTAAAACTGGATTTGTGTGAGAGGATGTGTTCCTAGTATGAAAAGAGAACTGAAGAAAGAATTCAGGGAAACATCAATATGTATCGGGGAGGTGAGAAAACAAAATCAGAGGAAGAGGTGGCAGGCTGCCTAAGCTAAGGAAGGGATTTCTGGGAGGAAACAGTAGTCGAAGCTTCAGTGAGGACCTCTAGGAGGAAGCCTGGTAAGAAAACCAGGAAAGAACCCACATTGGCAGCAAAGAATGAGCTCCAGAAAATCCACTTCGCAGAGGAGTAGAATTGAGACTAAACTCTGCAAAATAAATATGAGACATAAAGTATACCAGGCATATTTCTCAGTTTAGGAAGGGCGATGTGTATTCCAGAGACTTGGGTCTCTGGGGAAAACATCCTAAATTTTTATTGGCCATTAAGGTATGTTAAGAACAGGATGTTATTGGTGGAAACTTATGAACCAAATGAAGACTTTACGATGCTGTAAGCAGTAGTGAAGGGAAAAACACACCACTATGAAGGCAGCCCTTATATACTTAAATTATTTCAGGCAGTTCAAAAAGATTGTGCACTTTGGAGTCTAGTACACCTAAATTCAAACCCTAGCCTTCTACTGATTAGCCCTGTGGAAACCTGGGAAATGTTTTAGTTTTTTAGGTTTTCTTCTTTGCTTTTTTACATTTCTGAGTCATATATTCCCTCGTTGAATAAAGGAAGGGTCTTTTGATAATTAAGTTACCTTCACATCTGAAACATGCTACAGGCACTCAGCAGATGGTAACCTATGTCATTCATGCTCTCATCACACCAAGTCAGATACAAAATTGCCTTGAAGAATCTCCAAGTATTCACTGAAGTGTATGGATTTAATCCTTTGATTAAGCTTGACTTTTATTGAAATATGACAACCAAAAATTATTTATAAATATAGATCTGTGGGAATGATGTGGATTTTGATGACGATGCCGTGAAACTATTATACCCCACACATAGGTCAGTAATGCCGCACAAAGTCTGAAGCATAGTGAAAGGCTGATCACATGCATGTGGTGGTACTCAACACATTTCCCTCTGTGTTCTGACATTGTTTTCAAAACATATAAAAATAATTTTCATAGGAAGTATAATAAGAAATAAGCTATTGAAGGAAAATGGTGAGAAATCATAAAGAAGAAATGTGAAAATGTGAATAAAAATGCCTACCGCCAATATATCCTATGACCTGAACATTTGATTCACTCATTTTTGTGGGCTTGCATATCAGGGTCAAACTGAAATATTTACAGTGGTTAAAATACAGAATTAAGAATGAAGTAAGGGATTGGCAAAATACATCCAAGCGTCTTGATTTTTTTGACAGTCCTCAATTCATGCTAGGAATTCTATCTTAGTTTTACGGGGAGGAACCTTTACAAAATCACTTATTTATATACAAATATAATGCAGTGTTAGCTCATGTTCTTTTCTCTGTAAGCGGTCTTAAATCTTTACACCAACTCTGAAGAAGATGTTGCCAGTATTATTTTCCCATTTTATAGATTGCCTATAAAGTATGTTAATCATGTGCCAAGCTGAGGCCATGAGTGATAGAACAAGGTTTAGAAAACAATGGTTAGTCTTTGTACTTGACATCCTTCCCACTCCTCACTACTGCATCAGTAATGGTTTCTAGTATAATTAAAGCATGAACTGGAATGTTAACTTCTTTTCCTTAAAAAAACACTCTAAAAACTAAAGTTTAAAATATATACTGTCCTGCTTACTAAAACTTAGCTATGAAGTTTTATTCTGATTTAACCTATTTGGAGGACATTCTTTACCCTAAATTACATTGAAACATTGCAAATCCAGAATTGTAGCATAAAACTTTATGCTTTATGCTTTGTGGGGTCGGGGTTCTTTTACTTTAAAAATTATAATACACAGAGAAAAGTGTACTTCTTTGCAAACTGAATGCGTTCAACAGCAAACTGATCAGCATCCAAATCAAGGAAAAACATAGTATCAGCTCCCCAGAAGTTCCTTGTTCTTCAGCTTCTTCCAGTCATTTCCCATTTTCTCTCCCAGGGTAACCACTACTTCAACTTCTAATATCAATCTCTAGTTCTTTAAGCATTCAGTAGAATTGTTGGGGGTCGGCTGGGGCTAAAACCTCAGATCTCCTACATAGTAGGCAAGCACTATTCCACTGAGCTACACCCCAGCCCTGTGATTGTGTTCTCAAGCAAACTGAACCTCACAAGAAATACAGGCTTTCTTGAGAGTCCCCATTAAGATCTATAAAAAGTGTTGCTCACTGGGGTTTTTTGAAACAAGTGCCCCATTATGAGAGGATAAGCCCATTTCTTTACTGTGGTCCTAACATAAGACACATACTTGCCCATTCCAAGCTACCTCTTTGTGATTTAGATTGTACATAAACTTATCCTTTCTTTTTATGAAATGACAGTATTCTGCCAATGTCTCCTAAATTGTTTCAATTTGAAGGTAAGTACTTCTTGTGATTTAAAGTATTTGTTCAGATGTGTGTAGAATAATTTTAAGTGTGGTTAATAAGTGCAAAGTGCTACAATTAATGTGAATTTTGATGAAAAATGTCATTTTCTAATAGCTTTCTCAAATTTAGAAAATGATATATTTCCAATAGTTCAGTGATAAATTTTATGTAGCAAAATTGTAGTTCATTATAAGACACGCATTTTTTATTTCTAAAATAAGGTGAAACTCCAAATTCTTGTTTATAATAGCACAATATTATGGTATGATAACATTAATGCCCTTTTGAAGTTGACCCAGGTGTTTTGATTAAGTTTTTCAGGTAAGGACTATGTTAGGAACCCACCTCACTGACCCTCCCTCTATGAGACAGAAGTGCATAGTCTGAAATTCTGTCTCAGGACTACTGTTCTTTCTAACTTGCTTTTCATTTATGTACTTCTGTGAATGCATCTATTAACCGTAAGTTTTCAATGTATTAATCTTGCTTTTCATTCCACAATGTACAAATTAGGTCACCTAGAGGGAAAATCATGCAGGAAAAAGAGACAATTTTAGAAGTCAGTGGTAAATGGCTAATTCAACCTAACATAATTGCAAAAGAAAAAAATCTTAGTATGGGATAAAAACTCAAACTATTTTCTGCCTGTACTTGATAATCATTATATGATTTACTCTCTGTCAAATGTGTACACAGGTTGTTTTATAATTTGGATTGGCTAGATAGTAGCCAGATAAAAAGTTTGGTCTCTGCTTGGTTTTCCCTCTGCTTTTAATATGCAAGATCAAAGTATTTAAATTGTCTATATCCTTTTATCTTTTTCCTGGAATATAAATAGTTATATTCAACTTTCATAAATATCAGTGAATCCTACCTCTGGAAGGATTCCAAATTCCTGTTTTACAAAATGGACATAATAGTCACAATTATGTTATAATGCTGAAGTAAATAGAAAGCTTTTTACTTCTGTCAAATTTAAAAGCAGTCCTTAGAGACACCTTAGAGAACATATTAATTGTTTTTCATTTTAACCTAGCCATCGTTATAATAGAATTTTGAGAATCCTAGTCTGACAGAGCATCATGCATAAAATCTTTGGTAATGTTTTAACTTGATATTCAGTATGGGTTGTACAACATTTTATTTCTTCAACTTCTGTATATGATTTAATATTCTACATGTTATAGATGGTATAAATTATTTATGACAACAGTATCAAATCTCTTTTACAAAAGAAAATCTTACTCTGCTTTGATGATCAATTTTGTCACAGTGTGAAGAATTTTCAGAAACCAACGATTCAGAACCAGAAGACATGGATGAGGAAATTGATGCCAAAAATCAGAAACATGACATGAAAGTTGTAGCTGGTGATGAAAAAGAAGAGTCACAAAATATCAGTGGTGACTCAGCTGAAGCTGTTAAACAGGTATAATAGGTGCTTTAGTCCTGAGATCCTGCCTGAGAAAAGTGCAAACTATTTATGACAGCAGTATCAAACCTCTTTTACAGAAGAAAATCTTAATCTTCTTTGATGATTAATTTTGTCACAGGATCAAGATTCTTCAGAAACGGAATACTCAGAACCAGAAGATATGGGTAAAGAAATTAATGTTGAAAATCAGAAAGATGAGGTGAAAGCTGTGGCTGACGATGAAACAGAAGCATCAGAAAATATCAGTGATGATGAACAGGTATAACAATAGGTGCTGTAGTCCTGAGATCCTACCTAAGAAAAGTACGTTAGGTCCCGTGGTCCCTGCAGAAGCCAGATTCCACAGTCTTTTGGGAGGAAAAATACTTCTGTGAATAACTTCATGTGGCTTTGGCTTTTACGAGTCAAGCAAATGTCTCTAGTGAAGTTCTTCCACTGCTTGGTAGCATTCTGTTTCCTGCGCAAATGGGAGTCGAATGGTATTGTCCAGGATAGTGTGGTGTTGCGAAGGGCATAAAGCAAAGTTGGGCACTTGGTATTTGAAATGTTAAAGGTACAAAGTTAAGAGTCCAGGTGCAGGTGGCAGAAATGGAATACATTATATACACTGACAAAAAAGTTGGTCACAACAGTGTTTGAGATTGTGATCAGCTCGTCATAGGTACAATGTAGGTGAAAGTATCTATAGGTGGACTAAGCGGAAATACCACTGAGGAAGCAAAGATCATCTTGACAGTGGAGCTATGACTGCTCAAATATGTATCCTCCATTTGGCTGATTTGCCTTCTAGGACACAGAGTACTTTTAAAATTGTTTTGCTAATAGTACTGTGGATCAATTTAAAAAACACAGAATTGTGAAGTGCAAGACTGAATGACATTGTATTAATTAATTGTCACTTTTAGAAACTGTCATGCAGAACACAGACTAGTCATGACTTTTAGTTGATAAAACAGTCACCCTTGCTCTGTGCCAAGATCTTATTTAAATTCATTCCATTTTATTCCTGTTCCTATCCTTCTTTTCACTACTATAGATGACCAATACGTACTTGTCAGACATATGTTGTTTTGTGTCCATGTCTTTTTAACTTGCAAAATGTTATTGTTCAGGAGAGGTCATTCTCTTCTTTGGTCCCTTCTGTTTATAAGGCTTCTTACTCTCACTGAGGAAATAATATTCTAGCAGTTACTTTTTTCTTTCAGAAGGGTAAAATGTTTCTGTTTAGAGAATTTATACATTCATTTTAGACTAGTCCCTAAAAGCTTTTAACATAATAATCATTTAGTACCAATTTAACAGGGTAAGATGTTGAAACAAGTCATATGCCAGTTAATATTCCTAAATCTTCTTTGAGGAAAATTCTTGAATCATACAGTTTTTTTAACCATAAAATTTTAAGCTAAAAGGACATTAACAGTCAGCATCTAAAGGCCCTCATTTTGGCCCAACAAATTGTGTAATCATTACACATTTATATCATTGGCTAGAAGTAGGCTCTGGAACCCTCCTTGAAAACCAAGACTGTTTTCTAGCACAGAACAAACACATTTTTATCATACTGTTTCTTTTACATTTATAGGAAGAAAATACTAAACTACGAGAATTGGCTATTTGTGAATACAATGAAAATCCAAAAGGTATGAGCACATTTAACTTTGAAAACATATTTTTCTCTTTTGAAATTTATTTAATCAAAATTTTGAAGGTATTGAATGTTTTATTAGTGTATGTTTATGAAACATTGTAATTACACTCATTTTGTGGAACTGGTACAAGTACGTACCATCTCTTGATCGTTTCCATCCCTTTACCCCTCCTGCAATCCCCCATGCTCTTCCCCATTTCCAACAAGTCAGCCTTTTTGTTCTCTATCATGTCTCCATTGTTTTACTTTTTGTTTTAAAATTCTAAGAGAAACCATAAAAGCATACTTGTATAAAAGGCTAGATAGAAACATACATCCATGTATATGCATGCATGTATTCTGTAATTAGATAATTATAAACTCATATGCATATTCTTTTTTATATATTTTACTGTCCCATGACCCTGATGGCAAGGTACGAAATAGTGTGACATGGATGTATCTCTTCTCTTTTATAACTACCACAGCCTTTTCACATGCAAATTATTTACCCTGTTCGTGAGTGCTCGTATGTCAGTGTTCAGGGATTCAGAACAGCCTTTTTACTGTTCTTCCACCTACTCAAATCAGTATTATTAAGTCAGGTGTTTAGCCCAAATTCCAATTTCCATCTCTGGTGAGCACTGTGGACCTTTTGCCCAAGTTAGGTTACTTGGCCTGGCCTAGAGCCCCAGTTGTCATCCATGTATTGATCCAGGACCTAGAGATGAGTCTCTGGTCTTACCATGGATATTGAAGAGAAGTCCTTTTCCAAGCCAAGCTATTAGTGTAAGGGAACATGTGCCACAGAATAGAGGAGAATGAGAAAAGACTGTAATTGCCCGAAAACCTACATTTTCTATACCCAAATCATCTGTTTGCTGTACAACTCTTATGTTTTCACAGCATCATACCACAGTATGCTTTTTACTTTGTTCTAACTAAAAGTGTCTAGGGCCTAACATGCTTAAGACCATACCCAGCATTGCTTGCATACATATGTACATAAAACAACACAGCATTGTAACTAGCTAATTGATCTAAATTTAAACAGAGAAGGAATAGTTTCCTTAATAGTTTTGTTCCAGCTTCTGCAGAAAGAATAGTAGTAAGTTTTAGAATATTTTAAGCCAAATGTTAAAGTATCATCTCTATTCTTAACATATAATCTGTAGTGTCAAAAAGAAATTAAATAGAAGGCTTTAGGTAGTTAATTATATGAAACTTAAAAATTATGTATGCTTCATAAATATACTTTCAAGATCATTACTCAAATATATAATATTTGGTTTAATTATAAATACCAAAAAATAATATGTCTATTTGAGTGCAAAGAATTGAACTGAAACTAGGTTAATTTAAAACATAATTTATATTTTTATAATCAGCCTTCTCTAATAGTTCCTATTACCTTTGTAGCTCTTTTTTGATACAGGTCATCGAAAGATTTCAATATTGGTCAGATCTTTTTGGACATTTAACTGTAACTCAACTTTTCAGGAAATATAAATGATAGACACTACCTAGCAGTGAGCTTTTTTGTATTACCCCACAAATCAGGAGTTGATAAGAGTTTCACTGAAAGCATCAGATCTTTTCTTTTTCTCATTAATTACAACAGTATTTTTTAAATATATCCAATTGTAGGAAGCATGTGTAGTGGTGCAAAGAACAGTTATTCTGGGGCTCTGGAAGTTAATGAATCAATACCAAGTAAAGACACAGAAATACCCAAAAAAGTAAGTGAAATAAATTTTTCATGTTAGTGTTAAGATTAAAATGTTCAACTGTTCCTTCTACTTTTCATGTGGTTATCCACATAATTTGACTCCCTTAGTATGTGTTTTCATGGTCCAAAACTAATGTAAATGATTTCAGGTTGATGTTCCACATTTCTAATAAATCAGCTTCCCTTTGGTTAGTATTTGCCTTAAAGTTTTTTTGTTTGTTTGTTTTGTTTTTTACTTTTTTTACTTGTGTTTTAGATGTATCCCTTGTAAATAGCCCATACAGCTGGACAGTGCATTTGAAATTTTCACATGCATACCTTAAATTTAAAACTAATGTTCCTTTTTCCCAGTTAATACTAGGACCTTAGAATAGTATTCTCCTCTCATGTCCTTTCCATCTCATTTTACAAGTGATTGTACCCAATGTTTTAATTTTTTATCTTCACAAATCGTATTGTTTTTTATAACATTTGCTTTACTCATCATTCCTTTTTATGTCTCAGACATCCTTTCTCGGTTCTTTGCTCTTCCTGAAGAAGCCCTTTGGAAGTTCTTGTCATAGTTGCCTGCGGGTAGTTCACAACTTGAGTTTCTGTTCACTTGATAGCATGACTAGTTGGCAGTTATTTTCCTAGCATTTGCGCCCAAGATTCCTGTTAATACTGCTTTACTATAATTGTTTACAAATTTGTGTATAACATGTCATTCCTTTTTGGCTGTTCTTTTAGATTGTTTGTTTGTCTTTGATATGTTTCAATTCATCATGAGATGCCTAGGTGTGAATTGTTTTATTCTAACTTCCTGGGAATTGATTATGACTCTGATTTTGAATCTGAGAATTTTTATCACTCATAGTTTTTAAAAATAGTATCCATTACTATATGTTATAATATTGCCTTTTTTACTTTTGAACTCTGATGTAGTACTCATTTTGTTGTGCACACCTTTTAACTTCAACTTCATATTTTTATACTAAGTAATATTATGGGTCATTTCAGGGGTTTTATTGATTTTATTTTGCTGAGGCTTTTATTTAATCTACCTATTGAGTTTTAATTTTAATGATTATACTTTTTCACTTTTAAGTGAGGTTTTATTTTCATTCTTTTTAAAGTCAACCTGGTCTTTTACAAAGTTAGCATCTTGTTTTGTGCTTTAAATACTTTAAGCATATTTACTTTCTACTCAGTATTTCTTTTTTTTTTTTTTTTTTTTGTTTTTTTCCGGTACCGGGAACCGAACTCACGACCTTGCGCTTGCCAGGCAGGCGCTTTGCTGCTGAGCTAAATCCTCGGCCCCTACTCAGTATTTCTTAATTCCAGTGTCAGCCATCCTTAGGAGTTGAAAACCGTGTTTCTCTGCTTGACTTGCTAATGATGACTTGCTAACGTTGCCTTGTTTCCATAAGTGTTTTGAAATTTGGATTGTGTTCAACTAGAAACTTTGTGTGGAAATCCTGTAAGTCTTAGGTAGAGTGCGTCCATCCATAGAGAATGTTTTTTGGCCTCTCTGTTATCTCGGAAGTGACTAAAGAACCGCCTCAGGTTAATATCTCCCTTAAGGGTTGTCTACCCACACTGGCAATATGAGCTTCAGAGTAACCTCAGCAAAACATTTTTCTTCTTTACTAAAGTGCCAGACAAAAAAGGCATGTATTTTGTTATCTCCCAACATTTCCCTATTTACTTACATTAAGGACATAGTCCTTAGAGAAACCCTACATTATGGAGGGGCTTCGTTCCAATTTCCCACATTTTATGAGACTGAATTTGCTAAAACCCAGGAGTCTAAATTAATTGTGAGGCTAACAAATGCCATTTCTATACTCACCTCTGAAGATTGTTGCTCCTTCCACATTTTTTAGCCTATACGGATTTCTCTTAATGGTTTTGTGAGATTGCTTATACATTATAACATTCTATATGTATACTTATTGAGCATTTCTTGGTGTTTTGTAGTGGCAGAATGTTTTCAAGATGTGTATTTCTCCAACATAGCGGGCACAGGAATGCCTCCATGTTAACCCATAAACCCTCTTTCTAGCCTCTTGACTTTTGGGGTCACAGCTTTTCCCTCTAGTTCTTCCATTTTTAAGGCTAAAGGTAAGCTTGCTATATTTTTCCGCTGACTTCCGAGCTGCCTCATTTTCCCGATTTTGCTTCTGCAGACCTCTGTTCTCCGTGCCGGCTCCCCTCCATCAGCCTGCTTCTTACACTTGGCCATTCCTCAGTCTCTTTTCTTATATTCTCTTTTCTGCCTGCTAGGAATCCTTAAGAATTCTCAAGTCAGTCTCATTTCTTCAGCTTTTACCTGTATTGTTCATATCTGGCCTCCCCTAAGCAGCAGCTGCATATATCCTACTGCCTACTCAGACCCACAAGGCTCACATGGCCATCATTTGGAAATACTAACATTTTGCCAGAAATTCTGATCTACGAGAATAGGGAGGTATGCCCTCCTTGTCCAGGATATTATAATAGAAAGTCTGTGCAGCTGAGATACATTGAGGATGGCAGGCATGCCCGAAAACAAACCATGTTGGTTATATTTAAATGCTACAATAAGTAATATCCTAGTTTTTATCTTTTTTTCTCTCTTACAATGCAACAAAATAGAATACTAAGTTTGGCCTTTGAATGAAAATGATTGTATATTGCCTAGATGTTGCTGATGGTTGTTAGATCCTGTAAAGGTTTTTCTTTGGGGTAGAATCATGACTGTGTTTTGGTAAAAGAAAAAAGACTGATGGATGCTAAGAATGTGTCATTGTACCTGTATCCCATAAAGATATGATGGAGTTATGTTTATACTTGTTAAAAATGATGCCACTAAATACTAAGTGAATGTGTCACTTACTGAAATCTCTGTGTTTATTTTTTCTAGAATTTCCTGTTGAAACGGATGTCACTAACAGGTCAGAAAATTGGACAGAGTAGTGTGGAGCCATTTTCAGCAGTGAAACCAATAGGAAATCAAGTAGCTTTACAAAGCAATAAGAAAGATGCCATCCCTAACCACATAGGGCAAAACTGTCATACTTCTCCCTATGTGGAGGTGAAGTCAAGATCTTGTATAATCCTATAAATACAAGTTTTCATGGCTTACCGAGCACATTTGTAACTTATACTTGAAAAATGTTATAACATCTAAAGGAATATTTCTGATAACAGACTTTTAAGATACAAGCTAATATTTTTGGTTTGGTTTGAACAGTATGATCAGTTTCGATATTTATTTATGCTAATATTTTCAACAAGCAGCTTTAAAATATGTGTATCTCAAACTCTTCTTGAAGTGTTGTGGCCTTAACTATTCAGTGTTGCATAAAACAATGAAGCAATATATTTTTATATGTGAAAATTGAAGTAAGATATTCCATACTTTTGGTAAACAATTTTACTTATTTATAATTTCATGAGACAATGTTTGAAATCTCTTGACACTGATACATTTTTAAGGAATTTTCAATTTTTACGACTGAGCCAAACTTGTAATAAACCACATCCAGATGGTTCTGCTGTTAAAATGGATGACTATGAATAAAATTTGGAAGTACTTGAACTTATCCATTGATCAAATGGGGTAAAAAAATCAAATTTTAAAGTATCAAAGGGCATAAAATGCCTTTCCCCTGTGTAAAAAAAAAATACAAATGCAACTGTGTAAACAGTATATTTTTGTGGGGAAGCTAAGTGTCGAAATCGCTTTCTGGTCTTTTGTTTAGAGAAGAGATTGGACATGGAAACATTATGTGGTGTGATCGGTATTTTTGACCATGCCACAGATTGCCACCATAAGAGACCCAAACATAGCCAGGCTTGCTCATTTCAACTCTCTAGCATTAACAGCGTAACCAAATTTGCCTCGATCCCGCGGGGCACTACCGTGAGGAAGAGCAGGGATGAAGCTGTTGTCTACTTTGCTAAGGTAGAAAGATTACTTTCCGTGCTTACAGCTACTACGTATTTAATAGATCAGTCCACCTTCATTTTCCTCATTTTACCTTGTTAATAAAACATTTTAATCTTCCATTACCGTGACCCTTGCCCCATTTAAACAAAGAAAACAAAATTCCATCTTTGCGTTTCATGCACAAGGATTGTAATATCAGTCCAGAGTACATGTAATTTTGAAATCTTACAAAGTCATCTTCTCTGTGAATATTTAGTAGAATTCTAATTTTATAAAAAGCGAAGGCAATTTTATAATCTTGGCTATTGCACTGTGGCAACTATAGTATTAGTAGAATGTTGTAAAAATACTTTACCAATATATAACCTGTAGGAGCCGAGTGGAAGTAAAGCTTGCAGATGCAACTAAGATATGCCATTTGGGGAAGGCAGAACTCTAAAATGGCCTTCAGGTTCCCACTCATTGGTGCCACATGCCCTGAATAATCTCTTTTCTCTGAGTATGGGTGAGACCAGTGAATATGATGGGATGTTATTCCTTCGCTGTGGTTACATTATATGGGAAAGGTGGGAGATTTTGCAAATATAGTTAAAATTTCTTAGTCAGTTTAAGTTAAACTTTAAAGCGGAACAATTCCTAGGTGGCTCTGACCCAATCAAGTGAGCCCCTTCAAAGATGTTTTAGGCAATCTAACATAAAGGAGATCCGAACTATGCAAAACAGCAGAAATGCCCTCCTGTTGGCCTGGAAAAAGCCCACTGTCATAATTGTGGATAGTGCCATGTGCCATGAAGTGGTAGGACAGCATCTAGGATCTGAGGGCTTCAGTCTGGCAACTTCGAGGAAGTGAATTCTGCCAACAAACAGTGAGCCTAGAAGAGGAATACAATCCTCAGATAAGACTGTATTCCTGGCTTTGACACCTTGATTGCAACCTTGTGTGTGACTCTGAGCTGAAGACCTAGTTGAGCAGTGCACAGACTTTCTGACCTATGAAAACTGTGGAATAATAAATACATGTAGTTTTAATCCACCAAATGTATGGTTATTTGTTACACAGCAATAAAAACTAATACTTGTTATCCTATGGGGCAGGACTTCTCCACATGGTGGCTTCCTTTATCAAAGCATCTAATCGCTTTTTGGCCATCTAATGTCATTTTCTTAAGGCCAAGGATCACATTTTTATACTCAGAAAGTTCACAAACATCCTTTACCACACAAATACGCGATGAATAATTGATAGAAATATATGTTGTACCTTTTATCTGTTTGGTTTCTCTATCGATGGCCCTCACAAGGTATAATTAGGCTTCTTTAGACTTCTGTAAACAATGATATCCTTGTTTAACATATGGTAGAGCCATCATGCCTAATGAAGGATAGCAGCACATCCTATAAATCCATGTGAAAATATTCAATACAAAATATTGGTAGTCACAAAGACCCTCCTATGTATAAAGATGAAAATGTGTCAGGGCTGCCTTCACAGAGTACTACAAACTGAGTGTCTTAAGCTTATAAGTTTTGTCTCAGTTCTGGGTGCCAGAAGTCCAAAGTCAAGGTGTTGGCAAGGCTGTGCTCCATCTAAAGATACCAGGGAAGGATCTGTTTCAGGCCTCTCTCCTTACTTCTGACAGTCTTCAGTATTTCTTGGCTTGTAGTTGTACCACTCAAAACCTTTGTCTTCACATGACATTCTCCCTGTTTCTCTGTATTGTCTTCTGTGTGTGTCTTTGTACATATTTCCCCTTCTTATAGCCTGATCACCTCATTTTAACTTGATTACTTCTGAAAAGATTTTCTTTCCAAATAAGATCATATTCTAAATCGCTGGGAGTTAAGACTTCAGCAAATCTTTTGTGAGAGAATACAGTTCAACCCATAACAATGCATAACAGTTCAAGAGCTACAATCATACCAAACCTCATTTGTTTATTGTACCTAGTCTCTTAGATTGTTGCTATTACTGCCCCCAAATATAGAGAGACTTGCTAAATTCTGGATCTTCAGTGATGTATCACTAGTTGCATCAGTCAAAGCAGGAATTGTAGTGAGGTCATGTTCACTGGGATCCTGGGTGCAGGGAGCAATTACTAAATGAGTACTAAATAAATTACCACATTTAAAGTTGTCGAGTTTGGATGAGAACTTATTTCTTAGAAACTTGTACACATTCTTTAGGGTTAAACTCTTTCAAGTATTTACCATGGAGAGTTCATTGTAGTACAACTCTATTGCTCATATGTTATTATAAACCCATAGAGGAAAAGCAAATCTTTCCATGAGCAAAAGAAAGTCTTTCTTTTCCAGCAGAAGCAGTGAACACCATTAGAAGCATCCAAGTCGGAAAAATTTGGCCAGCTAGTTTTATAATCCCCAGGCTTGACAACACAAGTGAAAACCCAAGTTCTTGTCACGGATCTTTGCCCACAGGAGACCCAATGGCAATAGAATTAGAGAAGACATTCAGAATAATTATTTGGGGACAGAGCCAGACTAATTTTTAAATCATGCTCATCAATTTCAATTAAGAGTTTTTCTGTCCAATTTGATACTGCGTCTATTCAAATTGAAAATATTTTCATACTGAAAATGTCCTCTTGCTGTGGTTTAAAGATTTTACATGTGATAGTAATTCTTTTAAAAGTTTAAAGTATGTTTTTAGACAGAACTTTAAAATGTGCTTTCCTTTTTTCAAATGGAAGAATAAGAAAAAAATCACTAAATGAAAAAAGATAAATCAGAAGCTTGAATGGGTAAGTCATTAGTGTGCATGTGCCCATGTGTGTGTGTATGTGTGTGTGTGTGTGTGTGTGTGTGTACGCATGCGCACCTATGTGCACTTAGAAAATACTAAACCAAACAGCAGGCCAAATTTAGCCAGCCATGTTATGACCTCTATTTTAAACAAAGTGCTTTATTTTGGCAAGAGAAACTAGTTTACAAGGAAAACATGTTGAAACAATTAGGCCCTGAATTTATCTTGGTTATTTTTCCCTAATTTAATCTCAGATTTTAAGCAGGAGAGTTAAAGAATTAACTACAGAAATGATTATTCTACCTAGGTAATTTACATTTTGTCCCATATAAATGTATACCAAGCTTTCTTCAGAGTGTGGGTAGTTGGGAAAATACAGAGATAGTTCTGCTAGAAAAAAACTACCATAAAGTTACCAGGCTTTTGATAAGCGGTCTCTCTAACAATTGGGACCAATGACTACTTCAGCGTGTTACTGTACAATACTAATTATGGAAAACTTCAGGCAACATTAGCCTACCCTACATTTATTTACTAAAAATACAGGAGAAAAACTTAACTAGTCAGGGCAAACTGCATTCTCATATATAGTCCAGCTGACTTCCATTTTCATTTTATATGGATAATCCAATTATTGTGATAGATGTAATGTCTTAAATTGCAGTGGACTAGAAAGCTGTCCACTCTAAGGAATGTGTAAGTGAGAAACAGGCTTTCCAAGTCGTTTGTTCTAACTTGTCAAAATAGTAGTATTTTACATTTAAAGTTTTACTGAATCTTTTCCTGTGGGCATGAAGGTTATTAAAACAGCAAAGTTTTCTATTGTAATGTTTTTGGTCTATAGTTACTTAAAAAGCATTAAAATTTTATATGTAATGGTGTTTAATTTCACATTATAGGTAACATTTACAAATAGCTTCTTTCCATTATATTTATACACTTGTTAATTATTATAATTATTTTATTCGCTGCATAAGGATTCAGCAACCTATATAAAAATTTAAACCAGTCTGATAAAACTTTACACTTCATATGGGTCTATAATTGGATTTCCTTAGTAATTACTAGACAATATAAGATTTTAGAAATTAAAGCTAGAAATTGTCCTTTAACTATGAAATTCATTTATTAAAATTAGGTTGTGGTTAAAAGTTTTTGTTAGACAATATTTCAAATATGCAGAAAAATAAGATTAATATAATAAAGACCTATGTGCCCATCACATAGATTTATCATTTGTACTTTGCTGTTTGCTACTTTAGCTAGACATCATGAAATTCCTAAATCTATGAGGATGAAGTTCTAAAAATGACATTCTGTATATTTTTGTATGTGACCACAATGTTAGAACCTTGCCTAATGAAGTTAGCAATAGTTTTCTAATATCAACTACTACCCGGTCTCATATTCAAGTTCCTTTCTTTCTCAGAGTATCTTATATAAGCTAGTTCACTTACGTGGGAGTCAATGAAAATCAGTGTGTTGCATGAGGTGGTTATTTCTCCTAAGTCTGTCTTCATCTAGAAGAGTTCCTTCCCCTTGTTTTTCCATGACACTGATATTTTAGAAACAGACAGTGGCAAGGTGTAACTGTATGCATTTAAAAGTAAGCTTTTAGTGTTCTGGTTATTCTTCATGGTCTCTCAGACTGCCTTAGCACTGGGAAGAGACAGAAAATTTGGACAAAAGTATGTAGATTTTAAAAAGCATTTGAAAGTATCAGGGACCTGCCAAGACAGTAAAAAGTTTTGAGACCAAATTTGGGAGAGAAAGGAAACCCAAATAGATGTACTTGCCGTATGGAGCAGCTTTTCAACAAGAGATATTAGCAACCAATATTTTAAGGAATTAATACACAAGAGTGAGGATTTTATTAGAAAAATGGTAGCTATAAAAAAACAAATTTGAATTCTATAATTAAACATAAGCAAAAAGTTAAGACATCCACGTGTGGATTTGCTAACAGATTAATAGACTTAGTAAACTGAAAGATAACCCAGAGGAAAACATTCAGATTGTAGCACAGACAAAATGATATAAAACACACAGAAGGCATCTTGAGTACAGTGACAAGGTCCAATATATATATGATTAGAATCCCAAACAGAGAAGAGAGAATTCAACAGAGGTAGAGCCCTCAGAATAGATTAATGCCTTTCTTGCAGGAGTTTGCATTCTTGCAGGACTGGTTACTGTGAGAGTGGTTGCTACAAAGCAAGCCTGCCTCTTACGTACTACCTTTTTCATGGATTCCTGCCTTTTGTGCTACTTTTTTTCCCATGATAGTATGATGTAGTGCAAGCCTCTTATCATACACAGTCACCCTATCTTGGACTATCCAGCCTGTAGAGCCATAAGCCAAGATAAATCTCTTTTCTTTATAAAATAATCTCTCGAATTCTGTTACAACAACAGAAACATGGGCTAAGACCTAAAGATATCAGGCCAAAGATTCAAGAAGCACTACAAATTAGGCATGGTGGTACACCCCTAAAAGCACTCTGAGAGGCTAAGGCGGGAAGATTTTAAGTCTGAGTCCTGCCTGGGCAATTTATTGTATTTTTAATTTTTTATTAGTACATGTTTGCCATATATAATAACTACGTTCATTGTGGGGAGTTGGTACATGTACATAACACATCTTTTTCTTTTTACATCCCGTTCCTTCCCTTCATCCCCCCACTCCATCTCTTGGTCCCCTATCCAATTGCAAAAGATCTCTCTCCCTGTTAAGCTTGAGCAATTCAGCAATTTATTGAGAGCCTGTCTCAAAATTTAAAAAGAGGTGGAATATAGCTCAAAGTGAAGGCCCTGGTTTCAATACCCAGTACCACAAAACAAACACACAGGCACGTGCGCACACGCATGCGCGCACACACAGACACACACGTTTCTTTCACTGAGCATAATGCTTTTGAGATTCATTTAAATTATTGCTGGTATTTGTCATTAGCAAGTTCACACTAAAGTTAAACTAGATGTTTCTGTTTCCCCAAAATAGTAGTTCTCAAGCAGGAGGAATTTCCCCACTCCTCTTCACCCTGTGAGACATGTGGCAGTATCTAGAGTCATTTTTGGTTGTTATAATTTAGGGAAGAAGGGGAGGAGAATGCCATTGGAATCTAGTGAGTTAAAGGCTGAGGGTGCTGCTATACACACTGCAATGCGTAGGACAGTCTCCAGGAGAGTCATAAAGGAGGCAGCACAACAGAACACATGGCATGCCAGAAGCAGAGGGCCACTTACAGACCCCACAGGGAAGAGGGCAGCAT